GAGGCAGTGAATCGCTGGCCTTGGAACCTTTGCCAAGATTTTACTGTCATTTCCACGACTTGCAGGCAGCTGCTTAGAAAGCCTGCCGGCGACTCCCTCCTCCTTTGCAACTTATCGATGTCCCAAAGGAAGAGAAAGGAAAAGAGAAAAGAAGAAAAAAGAAAAAAGAAAAAGAAAAGAACAGGGAGGGAAAAATGATATATAAGAATCTGAGACAAAGCAACAAACAATTAGAAATAAACTCTTTAAGAATTCTTAGGCCTGGGCGCTCTCCTGATGATTGGCGGCTTGAAAGAGAGGCCGAGGGACGGGTGAGGGGAGAAAGCAGGGTCATTTATTAATATATCCCCCCCCACCCCACTCCTGCTGCCCTGGGAAGGAGGCATCGCGACTTCCTAGCTTATCTGCTGTCACCGATTGTGAGCAGGGATACGGTGGGGGGAGGGGAAGAAGAGGAGGGGGGGCCAAACCACGGGCCAGCTGCAGAGGGAGGCGGGGTCGAGGGATAGGTCAAGGTTAGCGAGAGACGGCTATTGAGCTGACTTTAAACGCGAGACGCGGAGCGCAACGAGACCAAAGGGGGAGCTGTGAGACAAGACATTAACAGCTTTCGCTTGTGCTAATGATCGCAAGTGCCAGACTGGGGAGAGACGGAGAGAAAGAAGAGACGGAGAAATCACTTTGGAATTCTCCGTTTCCGCCTTCTCTCTCTCTCTCTCCCCCCCCCATCTCAACCCCCTCACCCCCTACTCCCCCGCTGGAGCTCATTCCAGGAGAAGGGAAAAAAAAACAACCTCAAATCGGCCCCTCCGTATTTGAGACCAGCCTTTGCCATCCCGGCGCTCTCCAGGGGGTGGGGGGTGTCTCCCCATTGGCTTGGTGTGGTGGGGTTGTTGCATGTCCCTTCTGAAAGGCACAGAGGTGGGAAAGACTGGCCTCACCGATCCTCAGGGGAAGCGAGAACAAGTTTGTGTGTGTGCGTTTTCCGATCATTTATTTCTCACCCTGGTTTTGAATGCTCCCTGCCCGAGGGTATTTTAGTCAAGAGAGAGAGAGGGACGGCCAAGTTGTTCTCCGATGAGCTACGCCAAACATGTTTTTTCCCCTGATTCTTTTCCTTTGAAATGTCCCGGTAGGACTAGCCAAAAACATTCAAGGTGCACTTCGATCATCATCTTTTTAGTTATATGATCGGGGGGGGGGATGTTAAAGATTTAACGTACTCCTCAGGTTTTTAGCCTATGGGACGCATTCTCAGGACCACACCCATCTTTAGCTCCGCACGAAGAGTTGCTACCCTTGCCTCAGAATTCGCAATCGTCTTTCATATTAGTTAATTCTGACAATTCTTTCTCTTTATAAACGCCGCTTATTCTAAACTGAGCTCCAAATCCGCTTCTTTTATTCGCTGTGTTTTATGAGGATGGCGGTATATCTTAAAGAGTATTTTCAACTTTACGTTTCTATTAACTATGAGTAATTAGAACCTTGAGAAGCCCGAGAACGTCAGTTCTCAGACATTATATACCCCAAGTTTTAAGAAGGGGAGATTCGGAAGGAAGCGTGCAGGAGTCTAGTTTAGGCAGGATGGTGGCCACATAAGACCCATTAATGCACTGAAAGGTTGCCGAGAAGGAATGTTTCTCTTTTTGTCGAGCTGATTCCAAATAGAATCAGGAGAAGAAAGGATTATTTTAATCTGATCCTAAGAAGTAAAACTGTTTATGACCGGATCATATGCATATATATATATATTCAGCAGAAAGCGCAAAGTGAATTTTACGGAGGAGGTGAAATTTAGTATGTAAATACTTAAAAGAAGTAAGTGTTAAAATAAGTAAGGAAATATAAACAAATAGGATGTTCACTCTTAGAGATGTATTTGGCTTATCGCTAAAATCTCAGGCTCAAGAAGAAAGGTAGGCGTATAGTCGCTGAAAAATATATTGTCAGTTAAAGAAATAAAATTCTCGGCGAAGTTATGATGGAAATTCTGCCCGAGAAAAAAATTTACGCGTGGAACTTCATAGCCAAGTGGCTTCCTAGAGATTTTATTTCCTGAGTTTTGCCGCGTTTTCTGTCACACTTTCCCCCCTCCGTTTAGATTAAGTGCTGGGAAACTACCTTGAGTCTCCCCACCCCGAAGTCTGGCGCCAAATGGGACTGGCGCGTTTTAAACCTTCATGGTGAACAAGAATCAATGGGAGGGAGGACATGAGATCTATTATTTTTTTTAATTATGCATGGGGGGGGGGGGAGCAATAAGAATCACTGCTGTTCCTTCAAAAGCCTGAAGGCTCTTCAACTCCTTCAGCCCACACCCAGTAAGCGGATCCTTTAAGAGCCCCCCCTCCTCTTTTTCCCTAGGATTGTTTGGACAACTTTGGGAAACAGCGCGTGCGGATCTCAAGAGAAACAGGCCCCCTCTTCGCAGCGGCTTCCTCGCCCACGAGGACATCATCCTGCCCGTAGTACCGTGTTCCGTTCTTTTGTAGCCTAAACCCTGCCAAGCCCGAGTAAAAGCTGCAAAGAAGCGAGAGGGCGCGGACTGGAGAGGCGGGCGTGCAGTAGCTGGCCCTGCTCGCAAAACCGTTGAGCGGTAGGCCGAGGAAGGTTGGCCGAGCGCCAGCCAGGTCGGTTTAAACGCCAGGGCACCCCCTTGCGCCGGGGACGGCTGCCCTGAAGAGCCCGGTTGGGAAAAAAGTTGTGAGGGACTGGCATCACCATCGATGGCACTATTAAAAGGAGCAGTGATGGTGGAGGTGATGAAAACTTAAATTAAAGATAGGGCGAGGCGAGCGGAATCTGGAGAAGTTGCGTTTGGACGTCAGATTTCAGGGAAAGTTCGACGGATGGGTAGATAAATCAGGCAACACATATAAGAGGAAGCAGAAACGCCTGCTTGGGATCAACAAAAACCGGAGCTAGGGAAGCTAAATAGATACCTCAGCCCTATTCAGCGTTACTTGGAAGAGAGTTCCCTGAGTAAAGGGTGGCTTAATCCTGAGTAAATGTGCATTGCTGGGGCAAGAACTTTTCAAATTCCATCGCTTGCAGTGGAAAAATTATATACCTGCCTTCTGTTCAGGAATAAGTCGAATTGAATTGAGTAGGACTGAAAAGGAAGGAAGGAAGAAAAGGAAGGAAGGAAGGAAGGAAGGAAGGAAGGAAGGAAGGAAGGAAGGCTCCTATAGCCTTTGGATATGTTTAAATCTCTCTTGGAAATGCAGGGCACTTATTAGCATGAGCTGGTTGTGTTCGCTTAGCTTATTAACTAAATAGCTTGATTCACACGTTCTCCTAATCCGTACTTATCTAGTTGTGGTTTAGAGTGACGTCGAACCCAGCTTCATGATTTAACCCTATGGCTATAGGGTTATGAGTTATGAACCACAACTCGAATCTGGCCAACGTGTGAATGAAGTTCAGACGGATCTCTCTCTCCCCACCATCCGCCGTCTGTCAAGACCGATCCACGTGCGCGTAGCTAATGGCCGTCTTCCCAACGTTCTCGCCCATACTGATGAATGGGTGGAGTGCGGAATCTTAAAACTGCCTGGAAGGGATAATTTCTCTTCCAACAGTAGCTCCAAGTTAGAAAGAAACATCGTTTTTCGCTTCAGCAGTCCCAGATCAAACTCAGGCTGGAGTCCACCACAAGTTGGCTTAAATTTAGTGCTGAATGTAGCCAAGAGGAAATAACTTCCCAGGTGAAGCATGAGGGCGAAAGAAAGAAGCCTGTTTGTTCTTAGTTGTTTGGGAGGGAGGGAGGTGATAACAGTCAAAAGTCTCAGGTAAGATCACCTGAGGAAAAATAGATTCGACTGCTGCCTTTTGGTATATGGCACGCTAACCCCTTTATATCGTATTCGAGAGCGAGTTCAGAAGTTTCGTCCACTTCATCCACAACTTCCGTGAGCGCAGTTAGTCGCAACTTCTCGCAGCGGTCTTGGCCTGTTTTCAAGCGCCTTGAACGACGGCAGTTTAGCACCGTTAAGACGCTTGCAAGGCATGCTGAGTGGCAGGGCCCGGGTGGGTTGCGTTTTTTTTTTTTTTTTAAAAAAAGAGGAGCCAATGAAATCGCGCGAGCTCGGAGATGGCGGGATCCCTTGCACGGGGTGCCCTTCGCGACACTTCCGCGGCACCCCACGGGCTTTTCTGTTGAGGAGTAGGCCACTGAGTAACAGTCCCAGGAACTCTCGTGGGAGAGTTCGCCATATATTTGCTCAAGGGGGTGACTGCTGTTATGTCTTGTTTAATCAGGATTGAGAGGCTGAATCTAGCAGTCAACTATATTTATTTAGTGACTTCTCCGTTCAGACGATTACTCAGGCTAACGGGTGAGTCTGGAGTGACCCAAAAACATGGGCAAAAATTGCCGAGCTGGGCTGCAGTCAAATAATAGGTGCCTTAACTCCCGCTTCATATTTCAAGGGAAAATATCAACTGTAACAAGTGGAGTTTAGACCTGTGGTGGGGGGACATAGCGCCAGAACGGTGCTTCGGATGTCCAGGTCTTACTGAATATACTTTCTGGCGTTTGTGCTTGCCTGCGTTTGATGACACCAGCTGGCTTGGCAGTCCAGCCCAGAATGGGGGCTCGGCTGAGAGGGAGGCATGACACCCTCAGGGAATCGACGAGCCATGTGCCCTATCATGCCCCCCACCCACCCCCACACCCACTCACCCCCGCGCTCCAAGTTCACTGCCATGCTGTGGAAAGGAAGCAATCATTTTGACCAGGCAGCCCTCATACCTGCTACCTTTACTCCGAACGTCTGAATAGCAGGGATCTTTTAAAACTGCTTTATTTGTAAGACACCTGGTGAATGCCGGCTCCTTGATCAAAGCTGGAATGTTTCCATTAAGGGGAGGGGGGGGGCGCTCTGGAAGACACCCATTAGCCTGAGCGACCGTCTGCACTGAAGGTTAGGTAGAAGCCCAGGCCTGCAGGCTAGACGAGGAAGTTGAAGGCGATGGCAAGGCGCGTCTGTCCCGCTGCCAAGAAACTACCCAGCTCTGGCTGTGGAAGCGCCAGGAGTCAGCCTGGGGAGGAGGGAGTCTCCCTTTGGCTTTAACCTGGCTCGCAAGCCCGCTTGCTTAGGTCAACGCCACTTCCAGTCTGGACTAGCAGAGCCCCGGGAATCTACAGGGGATCCTTCTTCACGTGAAGTGGTGAGGCGCTTGGGAAGAAAGTGAGAGTAGGGCGGGCGTGTGCGTGTGTGTGTCTCCCTCCGCAATCGCGATTCACATTGGGAAAGGGGGTGGGAGAGAAATATCTCTTTCCCCACGCAGATATTTGTGTTATTGTAAAAACTGTTGGAAATACACAGCGAAGGTGTTCTGAGCAGAGTCGGGCTGCTACTGCCGCCGCCGCCAGTCTGCGTGCAGGGAAGAGAGCGAGGGAGCGCTGTAGTTGAAAAGGGGGAAGTGAATGAATCTCTTTTTGAGGCCAAGATCCAGCCGCCTGGAAGCTCTCCGAGCAGGTGGATCGAGCAAGGACAGGATGGATTCCGCGGACCTTGGGCGCTCGCTGCAAGCCTCATTCCGGCTGCTTCTCCGGGTTGAGCCGATCGTAGCCACCTCCAACTCTTTCCTTCTTCCCCTTTGCTTTTCCGGAGCCAGCCTGCTTGGCTCGACTAACCCCTTTACCTACACCCTGCTTCCCCCGGGAGACGGCCGTCCCATTTGGGCCTCCTGCCAGCGGGCGGCGGCGGCGGCGGCGGCTTCGGCAGCGAGGATGGCCCGGGTCCTTGTCACCTCCTCCCTCTTCCTAAGACCTGCGAGACCTTTGCTGCTGCTTTTTCGTAACTGGAGCGGGGACGATTTGGGGAAAAAGGCATCTCCTCCCGTCTACTGGATTACTCCCTCTTTTTATTTTTCCCCTGAATCTCGTTTTGGCTGTGGCTCTGCAGAAGGCAACCTTGGCGAAGCAATCGGAGCCGCGCGTGTGCTGGGAGTGTGTTTGAGGGTGGTTCCCCCCCCTTCTTGTTCTCTTGCAGGGTACAATGTTAAAAAGCCACCGCTAGTCGCCCCCAGTGCTCCTACTCTCTAGGTCTTTTTTGTCTCTAGTGCAGATTAAACGTCACGTCCGCACTTGAACTTGAATTTTATCCCATTGTACGGAGGCAGACCCAGCCATAGAGAGATTGAGCGCTCCCAGGGAACCAGGACTCCGCCATCTTCACATTGCAATATATCTCCTAGTAATAGCCAGCACTCACCCAGAAGCACTGGGGGGCTTCCTTCCTATCAAGACCTTGTGCCAAGCGAGGGGAGGGGGGGAAAAAAGCACTGGTAAAAGTGGTGCGAGCAAAGCAAAGCAAAGCAAAAAAAAAAAAAAAGCAAAAAAAAAAAGCAACCTCAAACAGTAGCACTTGAACTGGCAAAGAGGAGACACAGTTTGGGCTATCCCTTTAAAAAAAGCAAAGCAAAAAAGAATTCTAATTAACTCAGCAAGGGTATTTTTGTTGCATTTTTCTCTGCGTGTGGGCAAATACCAATTTTTCTACTTTTGTGCGAGCGTGTGTGCATATAATTCAATTTTCATTTCTTTTTCCTTTTTTTTTTTTTAAAGAAAACCCTCCTGATGGAAGAAGTGCACTTTGCTTTTTTTTCCCTTTCTTTTTCTTCTAACCACTCTGGAAAAATAAATGTCAGCGCTTGGTGAAGTTCAAGAAAAGATCTGGAAGCTGTGGAAAAGGAAAACAAAAACCAAACAACCCAAAAGACAGTTGTCTTGTGAAAATAAAAGCCAAGCCTCCCCCACTTCATTTATGATGTTTGTTTAATTGGACGAAGAACCTCATCCTGAGAACGTCAAGGGGGGAAAGTGCTGCTCTCTTTTGAGTTCTTTATTTTCTTTTTAAAAGAAGAAATCCGTCAAGAAGAGCATAGAAGAAGAGGAGGAGGAAGACGACCGCTCCCCCCCTCCTCCGCTCCCCCCTACCTAAGTCCAGCTCTCCGGGCGATGACCGTGTAAATGCCAGGGCAATGTCCCGTCGCAAGCAGGGGAACCCGCAGCACTTATCACAAAGGGAAATTATCACGCGTAAGTTGTGCTTCGCGAGGAACCGACTCGGAAAGCTGAACGTATGTGGGGAGTAGTGAAGGGGGGGCTCGAACCTGGATGCGATTTGGGCGCCTTGCGCGAAACTGGTCAGGGAGGATTTGAGGGGTGCCGGTGGGTGGGAGAAAGTGAGGGGCTTGGAGAGTTAGGGAAGAAGGAAGGAGATTCTGGCCGCGGCGGGGATGCCTGGGAGGCTAAGGGGGACGTGTATGTGTGTTGGCTGGGGGGTGGAGGGGGAGAACGAAGCGAAAGAGGGGTGTATGCCGGGTGCCGAGCGAGGGAGAGAAAGTTTGGGGAGAATTTGTGGGCAACCGGGGGGGAGCAAGAAGGAAGAAGGCCAAGGAGCCGGCCGAGAGGGGGAAAGAGAACCGGGGATGGCGGGGAAGGAGTGAGGGGTGAACTACAGGAGCTTGAAAGGAGAGGAGAGGCGAGGCGGGTCCAAAGTTGGCCGCGAGTGGAAGGCAGCGGCTGCCGGGGAAGGGGAAGGTGGCTGGAGCGCGGCAGGGAGATCCGTAATGAGAACCACATGGAGGGAACGTTTGGGCCGGGGATGAAGCGGCGAGGCCGGCGTGGGGAGCTGGGAGAGGGGGAGGCGGAGGAGGAGCGTGGCAGGCGAGGTGGGGGGGAAATCCAGTGATTGGGGCTGCTTCGCCCCCCCATTAGGGAAGCCCCGCTCGGTAATGGGAGATAGGACCGGACTTGGGGTGGGGAGGGATGGCAGCGACGGACAGGTAGTCGGGCAGGCTCGGAGCCTTTGGATCGACTTCTCCCTCGACGAGGTCCGGCAGCCCGGCACAAAGCGTAGGGTGGTTTTGCATACGATGGGCGTGTGGCGAGAGCCCAGGCGAAGACGGGGTGGGGGGGGGGGGGGGGGGGGGGGGTGGGGGGGGGGGGGGGGGGGGAAGTGTGGGAATTTTTTTTGGTGGGACCTCGCAAAGTAATGGCAGCACCATTTTGCAAAATGAAGCGCGCGCCAGCAGCAAGCTAGAGAAGTCCTGTGAAAAGCGCGCCACTTTCTAATCCTGCAAGAGAGCAAGGTGCTGCTGAGATCCCAATGTGGCCCAAAATAGTTCAAACAGATGGGGATGGAATGGGTGGGTGGGTGGCCAAGAGGTGTAGAATGAGGTACTCCACACATCGGAGGCAAGAATGGGAGGGTGGGGATCCAGGACTTGGTTGTCTGGAGTCGTGGGGGGTCGAACTAAGGGGTCAGTGTCCCTCGGTTTCAGCTTCTTGTTGCAAAACCTACGGGACTGTAAAATTAAAAAAAAAAGATACCAACAACCAACCTTTTATTTTTCTCCTTATCTTTCTGTGCTGTCCCGAATACTTCGAAATGCAATAGACGCCAAATATAAAAGTGCCTTGAGGATTTGCAAAGCAGCATTGTTTTTTTTTTTTTTTCCTGCTTTCTCGCTTGGCATTTTTTTTAAAAAACAACAACAACAGCTAGGTGCAACATAAAGTAACTGCCCAAGAAAGAGATAGACCTGGAGTAGTATTCCGGGACGGAAAGGTGGGGGAGAGATAGGATATTGCAGAGGAGAAAAAGGAGCGAGATCAGAACCGAGAGAAATGCAAACGGACGCTGCAAGGAACAGCTCCTTTGCACGCCCGGGCTGCTGCGAGAGCCGCCGCTGCTGCTCTCGGGGAGCTGGGCGAAGCAATGGAAGGAGGCGCGCGCCTGGGCGAGACCCGGAGAGAGGGCTGAGTTGAAGAGACTGTGTTTGGAGGGGGGGGGGTGGGGGAAGCCAGGAAAGAATAGAATATGTTATGTTAGATTTCTCCAAATTTAAACGAACATAAATGCACACACGGCCCTGCGTCTCCCCTCCCCCCGAGAGTCTAGGACTAGCAGCCATCTGCCAAGCAGCATTTGGTGACAGCGGTCGCTCTCGGTCCTTCCTTTGTTACAGCTGATAAAAATGTTATTTGTGAGAATACATCGGAATTATATTGATTGGAGAACGAAGGCGCTCGACCCGGGATGGCGTTTGGCTCCTGAATGTTGTTTTTCTCCCCCTCCTCCAGCGACTTCATTTTTTTTTCTCCTTCCCCCCCTCCCCCCCATTCTTGCATTCCCCCCCACTTTTACTACTCAGCTGCAGCAGCACCACCGAGGAAGATAGGCTTGGTATCGGCGTTTAAGTTGATTTTGAGCGGGGAGTGGATGGCTGGGTTTTAAAGTGGATTTAAAACCCAAACTCCGGCAAAACCTGTCATGCCTTTCGAGCAAACTGTATTTATTATTATTTTTTTCTGAAGAAAAACCCTAGCCAGTTTATGAAATCCCCAAAAGGGAAGGAAGGAGGATTCTTCTTCTTCTTTTTTTTTTGTTGTTTACAAATTATTCCAAGGAAGTCTTCTGTTTTCTGAACGCTGGCAGGTGGACTTTAATTTTTGATAGTAAAGAGGGGTGGTGGTGGGGGGGGAGGTAGAAAAAGATAAAGACAGTCACAGATATTGGTATTAGGAGATGAAACAGACACAGTGCACACATTTTGGGAAGAAATTCGAATCTGGCTTGATTTGGGAATTTCACTTTCCTTTCTCTCTTGTGAGAACCAACCATCATTACTTTTGAGGTGGTTAACAAGGTTTGCTGGAAAGATTCTCCCAAATGTCTCTGTACTTGTGGCTTAAGGTTTACAGTGGTGCTAAAAAGTCTTCAGGTACTTCCCTTTTTCCTCAGGTCTCACATTCCACTTTTCAGGAGGAAGGCTTCTTGAATTAGGCTGTAGAAAGCAAAATCAGGGAGATAATCTTTTGTCATGGGCACAAATGATGTGTATGTTTGGGTATGTGGGGAAGAAAGACAAAAATACCAAGAAAATGTCACACTGTTTCAACTGTCAGAACTGAGAGAGAGAGAGGAGAGGGAGGCAGGGAGGGAGGGAAGGAGGGAGAGAGAGTTTCACCAAGATCTATTTGGACCAATTTTCAGGAAGGTATTAATTAATTTTTAAAAGAATAGTATGATTTAAAAAAAAAGGAAAGAAAAAATACCAAGAAGTTGGACGGGAAGCACAAACAAGGACCAAATAAGTAAACAAATCCATATAAAATCCCTCCCCTCTCCACCTGTATTTTTTTCCTCAGTGAATATGAGGTGTTCTGAAAACTGCAAGTATCTGAAAGAGGAAGGGTCAACCAGCTTGGCAACTGCCTTTCAAGGTGGATGGCTCTGTTAGGCAGGCATTTCTCTCTCTACCCCCTTTCATTGGAATGCTTTAGATTTTAGTCTCTGGATGCTGAAATAAAGATTCTTACCTTGAACGGTGAACAGGCAGAAAGGAAAATATTTATGGCCTGAGAGAAAAAAATATTTACTGACTGATCCTGTATGATTACTCAGAAGTAAGCACCGCTGAGTTCAGTGCTGCTTAGTCTCAAGTAAGTATGTATAGGATTTTCAATCTTAAGGGAACAATCCAGATGCAGGTCAGTTTTGTTGCTATCTTTCAGTGACAGCACTCTGACTTAATTGTTACAGTATTTTAAATTTATTTATTTAGATAAATATCTATGATTTCTCTGAATTCCTTCTTGATAAATGTACCTCACCTAATCTGTCAGTGATAGATTAATGAGTTGATGGAAGAAAACCTGTGGTTTGTTTTCTAGTGAAGGATTTAGTGGGAAAATAGAATGAGTTGCGTTTAATTTAGAAAATTAAAATGGATCTTGAGGAAAATGCAGACAAATATTTTAGGATTTTTCTGTACTACATAATAATGTTAATTAGATTTTTACAACAGAATTTCTTGTTTAATAGCTAAAACAGTAAGATTTGAGCAGCAGCACTACAGCTTTAAAATGAACTGATAAGTTAGAATGCAATCAAAGAAACCAACCATCAAAATAATTCTGATTGTAATATAGAGCTGAATCTCCTCTAAGACAATCTCTTCAGGGTGCTGTTGTAGGATTTATAATAGAATCACACCCTTGCTTTGCAAAAATAAATTTGCCAGATTTCTAGAATTCTTCTACTCAACAGGTGGCTTGCTGGTTTTCCTTTTCTGGACCATGCTAATTTGAAAAACGTCACCATAGTCTCAGTAAAAAGAAAATATTTTAAAGTTTGTTTTCTGTTTTTTTCTTTACTGAAAGGATTTCTCTCACCCAGAAGCAATTCAGGAATCTAAACAGACATCCAAGCTAAGAGATTGGTTAAAGTCAGGAATTAGTTAGAAATAAATTTGTAGAAATGGTTTCAATTTCTGTATAAAATATGAAACTGGGACGTGTGTATGCAGCAGGTATTATACGCTGAATTTTATTACTTCCTCCATTGTCCACACCTCTACCCTGCATTGTAGTTCATAAATTGTACAGGATGTATTTTAGTCAAAATTGCAGACTGTAAAATATTTTATGAGACCTATTTTGGTTTTAAAACTCTATCCCTTTTCTCTCGCTAATTTTTAGACGTTGGCTAGCATTTAGTCTGCCATCTTTAGATGTCCTTTGAATCATTTAGTTTGTTTAGGAGAATAAATACACCAAGGAATAAGGAACAGTTTTGCTTTTTGTTGATGGGCAAATACAGGGATTAATTTGTTAGGCTTATTTAAGCATTTTAGTAAGCATGGAGATACACACGCACAAGCAGAGTGGTTCATTGAAAGCCAGGTTATTGTGTGTCTCTTCTAGTTACATGGAAGTGTGAGTTGAACAAAGGCTGTTCAAAAAATGAATTTGGTCCAGGTAAAAGAGGCCAAATTTTTAATGCCATTGGCTCTAGTTGGCACATTCAGCCTCCCTTATCAGAATGAAGTGGGTTTGAAGCTTGTTCCATTAGTTTAACTCAACACATAACAAGGCTTTTCTTTTCCGTTTTCTGTTGAGATTGCTCTGCACTCTCTTGTTTGTTATTACAAAATACTCTCCAAAATAAACTTTCCTAGTTTTTCAGTTGAAGTCACGTTGGTGGTGATCAGTGGCTTGCCTTGACAGCTAGGGGACGCTCATAGCCTGTC